TCCATTCTGGCTGTTTTGAACTTGCATGGACGGAGGCCGGGCCTCTGTTTTACCGCAGTCTTCCTCTTCCCTGGTACCATCACAAAGAGATCAGAGCCCCCGGACGTTGAAGCTCCCCAGTGTTCATGATAGCTACTTTTGGTTCTCAAACAGACTTCTCCTGAAGCCTGACTGTAAATGGCAAATGTAACATTTTTTAAAAATCATCCAGTGCTGTACTAGTATTCAGCCATCAGCTGGTCTAGTTCAGCTCTCAGGTCTTCACTCATCGCCAGGTTTGTCAGAGACAGCAGGATGCTAACAGGTCTTGATTTTCTCTTCTTCTGGCCTCTTTATGCCACTGGACTGTGCTGTTGATTGCTGTGATTTCTGACGTAATCATGGTCCCTGCAGACAAGCGGCACTCCTGTGTCTAATTAATCACAGAACTAATAATTCTAATAATAGCCGATAAATAACAATGATCTGGACAGGCAGATATGGTCTCGGCTGGTGTTCTGTTTGCATATTCAATGAGGGAGTGGAACTATGGCCTGAATTTGCCTTTAATAAGTAAATTACTTTATTACTTTGATAGGACATTACTTTATGCAGATTTATTTCACTTTGGATTATTCCAGAACATGTTACGAAAAGGAACACGGTTCAGCTTTTACATTTTTTTTTGTGTGATTCTCTAGTGTTTTCAGTTTGGTTATAACATTTCAGTTTTCAGACATGATATGCTGTAGTATCCAAGTTGTGAGAAGATGAAGTAATATTTTAGTGAGATTAAACTTCATATGCAGTTGACTGATGTGGTGGATGGAGAGACGGACGTATCTTCATGCCGGAGCAAGCAGAGGTCATGAGCCTGGCTTCTCTGATGCTGATGGCCCAAAAACTACACAAAAATTCACTCTTCAAAAAGCTACAGTATACTAACCCTGTCTTCTTCCTACACATGTGCATTCTGTTTGTGTTATGTGGTTTTAATCTGATATTTTATTTTGGGATGATGGCATTATAGTGTTTAAAGGCAGCAGGCATTCCGTCCATTTTCAGGGGTGCACTAAATTTGTCTCTTACATCCCGAAGCGTCCTAAACCGGTAATCAAGGGATTGGATGGTACAGTCCACAATAGCATTGAAAAAGTTAGTATCAAGGCGCTTCAGTGCATCAGACAAAAGCTCATCAAGCACTTCATCAGCAAAATGCCTTTGGGTGGCCCTGAATCTTTCCTGCTGCAGTACAGCCTCCATATTCATTTCCTCACAGATATCTTTGGCAGCATTCTGTGCAGCAGCAAAGCCTATTGACATGAAATTCATCAAAGATACATTTGCCTTCATTAGCAGATCTACAGCCACACCCAGTTGCATTTTGGGAGACTGTACAAGCTTGTTTATGGTGTTCACTTGGTGGGTATCAAACCATACCACTGTACAACATTGGACATGATAGGACCCAATCTCCTCCCCCCAGCACACAAGGAACATGTATTTCACTTAGATTTTTCTCCAGAAGCCTTGCTTTTACACTTTTTAAAATTTGCTTTTCATGTTGGGCGTCATGATGCATGGGGTGCGGATCGGTGAAACAGGGAGCCGGATGGAACCCGGGCAGGTTGAAGGCAGGAGCTGCAGAGGCCACAGGTGACCGCAAGGCCGAAGCCGGAGGGACCCTCACAGGTGTCCTCTCCCTCTGCGGGATACCGAGAGATGGGGTCCTGGCCGGGATCTTTTATGATGGGGTGGCGGTCAGGACTTCCCACCGGAGGGGTCCATTGGTACAGTAGTCAGGGAAATCCCTGAGGGGTCCCACTCGAGCTCCTCCTCCACCTTCACCGAGGTGGGAGGACCGGTGGTCCGACAGTCACGGACCTCCTCGGGAACAGGAGCCTGGGGCACAGGAACTGGAATAGGAACCTTGGGGACTGGAGCCGGAGTAGGAACCACGGGAGCAGGCGCACCCTCGGGCAAAGTGGCAGTGGCTTTGGGCACATGCTCGGGTGAAGTCGCGGTGCCAGGTTGGCAGAGACTTGGGATGCTGACCTGGGCAAAGTGGCGGCGAAGACGTGGGGTATGAGCACTGCCGGGTGGAGTATTGGGAGGGGCTTTTCCCGACATGCAGCAGGGGAAACAGCGGAGACTGAGATGGACCCCAGGAAGATACCCAGCGTCTTCTTTTTTCCTGCTGCTTTTGGCGGAGCCTGGGGCACTTCCGGCAGCTACATTAGCGGACCATAGGGCAGTCCACAATCCAGGGCTACCCGCCACATCATTGACTCCGCCATCCCTCTCCTTACAGTATCTGCCACAAATTTTTGCACACCTCTTCCCCGAGGTGAGAGTTCTTGGACAGAGACATCTCCTCCAGGACATCCCTCGTCTGGATGGCAATGGCTCGAGCAACGGTACACAAACTTAAATACACCAAGCTGTTTAACAACTAGAAACTGCTGATGACACGGGATTCCACACGAAGTAGCGAGGAGGGCATGGCACACAGGAGGATCGGCACGAGCAGGGCATGACATTGGAGCCATTGTCGTAAGACTGTCTCCTATACCAGTGTTTCCAAACCCGGTCCTTAGGGATCCACAGACGGCCCATGTTTCTGCTTCCTCCCAGCTCCCTGCCAGAGACCCAAGGACTAGATTGGAAAACATGTCCTATAGTCTTTAAATGGAATATTTAATTCCTTCAACTTTTTAATTATCAGGACAGACAAAGCAAGGCCTGTCACGCACACCGGTCACGCACACCTCGCTCCACGAGGACTGCCACCAGATACTCCACAGATCAGCAGTAATTGCACTTCTCGCCTCCCTTCTCAGCAGGCATGCAACTCAGTGGGCTACGGCCATCATCCGTTCCGGATCCAACATAGGCCACTCTTACCCTGAATTCACTCACCAATTCTGCACTACTTTTTGTCATCCGGATAGTGAGGTGGAGACTAATTCGAGGTCCCAGATCTTTCTCTGTATTTTCTGCCCAAAATTCTGACAAAACCTTTTGTCCCAGAAGTGACAAGAAATCCCAGGAAGTATTCTCTAGTGTTGGTGCCATTCTCACTGACCAGATGATGATGGACATCTGTTCCTGGTGGGTAATATCTAGAGTGCAGTCCAATATAAGCGAGAAATATTCTTCTTCT